CATAGCATGAAAACTGTCAAAGTTATTCACAACCATATCGGAACCTCAAATTACCGCCTTTTTAAACCTGGGAAAATAATTCTACCGATCTATCCAATTGGCCATTTTCTAAAAATACATTATGCAATAAATTATATACCAAAACAAATGGCAATTTTAATGCTTTAAAATGGTGCATAAACGACTGTCCTAGCACGAAAACTGCCAAAGTTAATTGCAACCATATCGGAACCTCAGATTACCGCGTTTATTAAACATAGAACAATAATTCTACCGATCTATCAAATTGACCAATTTTTAAAAATACACATTATGCTACAAATGATATACGATATTAAAGTGCAATCATAATGCTTTAAAATGATGCATAAATGACTGTCATAGCGTGAAAACTGTCAATGTTATTTGCAGCCATATCGGAACCTCAAAACTACCGCGTTTTTAAAGCTGTGAAAATAATTCTACCGATCTATCCAATTGGCCATTTTCCAAAAATACATTATGGAATAAGTTATATACCAAAGCAAATGGCAACTATAATGCAATAAAAAGATATATAAACGACTGTTATAACATGAAAACTATAAAAGGTATTTGCAACCATATCGGAGCCTTAAATTACCGCATTTTTGAACCTGTACCAATAAATATACCGATCTATCCATTTTTGTAAAAATTCATTATGCCACAATTATACACCAAATAAAGTGCAACTGTAATGCTTTAAAATGATGCGTAAACTAATGCCCTAGCATGAAAACTGTCCAAAGTTATTTGCAACCATATCGGAACCTCAAATTACCGCGTTTTTAAACATAGAACAATAATTCTACCGATCCATCAAATTGACCATTTTTTAGACGAACACATTATGCCACAAATGATATACCAAATTAAAGTGCAATCATAATGCTCTAAACTGATGCATAAATGACTGTCATAGCATGAAAACTGTCAAAGTAATTCACAACCATATCGGAACCTCAAATTACCGCCTTTTTAAACCTGGGAAAATAATTCTATCGATCTATCCAATTGGCCATCTTCTAAAATACATTATGCAATAGATTGTATACCAAAACAAATGGCAACTAAAATGCAATAAAAAGATGTATAAACGACTGTTATAACATGAAAACTATAAAAGTTATTTGCAACCATATCGGGGCCTTAAATTACCGCATTTTTAAACCTGTACCAATAAATATACCGATCTATCCAATTTTTGTAAAAATTCATTATGCCACAAATTATACACAAAAACAAAGTGCAACTGTAATGCTTTAAAATGATGCATAAATGACTGTCATAGCATGAAAACTGTCAAAGTTATTCACAACCATATCGGAACGTTTTTAAACCTGGGAAAATAATTCTACCGATTTATCCAATTGGCCGTTTTCCAAGAATACATTATGCAATAAATTATATACCAAAGCAAATGGCAATTTTAATGCTTTAAAATGGTGCATAAACGACTGTCCTAGCACGAAAACTGCCAAAGTTAATTGCAGCCATATCGGAACCTCAGATTACCGCGTTTATTAAACATAGAACAATAATTCTACCGATCTATCAAATTCACCAATTAGTAAAAACACACATTATGCTACAAATTATATACCATATTAAAGTGCAATCATAATGCTTTAAAATGATGCATAAATGACTGTCATAGCATGAAAACTGTCAATGTTATTTGCAACCATATCGGAACCTCAAATTACCGCCTTTTTTAAAGCTGTGAAAATAATTCTACCGATCTATCCAATTGGCCATTTTCTAAAAATATATTATGCAATAAATTATATACCAAAACAAATGGCAACTATAATGCAATAAAAAGATATATAAACGACTGTTATAACATGAAAACTATAAAAGTTATTTGCAACCATATCGGAGCCTTGAATTACCGCATTTTTAAACCTGTACCAATAAATATACCGATCTATCCAACTTTTGTAAAAATTCATTATGCCACAAATTATACACCAAAATAAAGTGCAACTGTAATGCTTTAAAATGATGCATAAACTATTGCCCTAGCATGAAAACTGTCAAAGTTATTTGCAACCATATCGGAACCTCAAATTACCGCGTTTTTAAACATAGAACAATAATTCTACCGATCCTTCAAATTGACCATTTTTTAGACGAACACATTGTGCCACAAATGATATACCAAATTAAAGTGCAATCATAATGCTTTAAAATGATGCATAAATGACTGTCATAGCATGAAAACTGTCAAAGTTATTCACAACCATATCGGAACCTCAAATTACCGCTGTTAAGAATTTATATTACTTAAAGTAAAATTTTCTACAGGGATTTAATTGTTTGTCAAAATGCATATTTTGTGCTACCAACAAAACTAAATGTTATTATGATGTGTATGGTTTATCATAATGTAATCTTACTTTGTGTGTTTGTTGTAATTTTCGATTGCGACAAACAACAATTATTTATTAAATTCATATGTAGTTTTGACAAACAGTTATTTTTCTGCCCTTTTGTTAGGTAGAATTTTGTTCAATAAAAAAAAAAAGGGAGAGAGTTGGCTAGAAAACATCAAAGCGTTAAGTTGGAAAACAGTCCATTAAATTATAAATTTGTATAAAAAATATATTGTATTGTTAAAAACAAAAAAAATAAAAATTCGTTTATTTTTGTATGTGAGATATAGTTCTCGTCGTCAATTTGTGGACTCAAAAAAGCTAAGTCCTCTCCAAGGTCCTTCGAACCGGATTTAAGTCAAGTTTTAACGTTCTAGCCAAGTCCAATGTCTCAGGAAGATTTGTCATTACCGGGGGTGCAAACTCCTCCAGTAAATAGTACGGGTAGTATTCGGTTAAAAGAATTGCAACGTAATCAAGTAATGTCGCGATTGCTTTCTGATAAACGCAATCTTTCTCAATTTGAGTTAATGAATCTTCATCAACTGGAAGTCAAATTAACGCTTTTGGAACGCGCGTGTGATTCTTTCGAGAAAATTCAAATACAATTGGAGACGCTAGATGAATCGCAATTTGCTCAAAATCATCGTAACATTTTTGAAGATGCTTACTTCTCGGTAAAATCATCATTGTTGGAGCGAATATCAAACTTGCGTTCGAATTTAAACCAATCAGAGGGTCTTCTTTCTAGCACTCACATCCATCAAACAGCAATGCAACCCACAAAAATACACCTACCAACGTTGCAATTAACGAAATTCAATGGAAACCAGACAGAGTGGCTTGATTTTTATAATATGTTCTGTGTCCTTGTACACAATAATCCAGACTTATCGCCAATTTCGAAGTTTCAGTACTTACGTTCTTGTTTAATCGACTCTGCAGCAAAACTTGTTCAATCACTTGAAGTTACTGAAGAAAATTATGAAGGGCGTTGAATATTCTCATCTCAAGATATGAGAACAAGTTTGAAATTTTCCAGTCGCATTTGCAACATATGTTTGAAGTTCAAAATATAAAACAACCTAGTGTATCGGCACTTCGTGATTTTATAGATAGTATTACCGCTGATCTACGAGCATTAGAATCAATCGCAACAAAACCTCAAATAGCGGACGGCATCCTTTTACATATGGTTGTATCAAAATTGGATACCGACACACAAGCAAAATGGCAAGAGGAAACGTCAACAAACTTGGTTCGACCATCATTAACCACACTCAAACTCCCATCGTGGGAAAATCTTTCTAATTTTCTGGAAAGGCGTTGTAAGGCCTTGAACATTATCAACAGTAATACATCATACTCAAGAACATTCACACAAACAAACCGTTCATTAGTTCAAAAAAATCGAGGATCTTTTTTAATTGCATCAAATCAACAATCAACGTGTAGAATTTGTAATTTATCACCATCACACAACGCATGTCATTGCACAAAATTTGTAAAAATGAATGTAAAAGATCGTTTTGCTATTGTAAAGCGTAACAAACTTTGTTTAAATTGTCTTGGGTACAACCACATTGCCGCATCTTGCCCATCACCAAATCGCTGCCGATATTGTAAGGATATACATCATTCACTTCTGCATAGAGCTGAACCAAACTCCTCAATAATTAACAAATCGTTATCAATTAGTGATGAATCTAGTAGCCAGATTTGTTCTACGCCATCTGGAAGCAATGAAAATCAGACCAACCAACCAACACAAACAACAACACTACAGGTTGTAAAGGAAAAAAGTGAAGTAATTTTGGCCACAGCTATGGTGGAATTATGTAATGAAACTGGCGTGTCTATAGTGGCACGAGCTTTATTAGATTCCTGTTCGCAATTAAATTTCATCACAAAACGAGTCGCACAATTTTTAAAGCTTCCAGGCAAAAAAGTGAATGTGGAAATCTCTGGTCTGGGTAATAAATCTGTGTCAGCATATTACATGTGTTCCATTAAAATAAAATCAACGACCAATGAATTTATTGCTCCAATCGACGTCGTCGTTATCCCCTGCATATCATCAAGACATCCCCAGCAGTACATTGACATTTCCAATTGGCATATTCCATCCAATATAAAATTAGCTAATAAACAATTTAATTTTCCAGGCGCAGTAGATCTACTTATTGGTGCTGAATTCTTTTGGGATTTACTAATGGTTGGTAGAATAAAGATAGATAAACAACCAAATTTTATAAAAACTATGCTAGGATGGGTTGTTACGGGATCAGCTGTTACATTCAATTCGCCGCAACCATCTTCAAACAAGATGTCATCTACATTATCCATTACGGCAAATAAAAAAGCTCTTTTTTCAATATCATCTAATTCGCCTAATTGCTCAAAAAATGACATTTGTTCATCAACATTAAACAGCCTGACGTTGTCTCTTAGTAATACAACGACACCAAAAGCAAAAAACAATTGTTTACAGACGACATCAGCTGATTATTTTAAATTAAATTGTGATACAATAAATGTAAATTATAAGGCATTTATTACAATTTCAAGTGAACCATTATTAGAAAATTTACTAGAAAAATTTTGGACAATAGATGAATTGCTGGTAAGAAACAAAAATATACTGTCTCATGAAGAATTACAGTGTGAAAAATTCTTTTATGAAACTACAAAAAGGTGCCCAAAAACGAATAAATTTATTGTACGTTTACCCTTTAAAGCAGATCCATCAATACTTGGCGAGTCATTTCATACGGCTTATATAAGGTTCTCCTATTTGGAATCTAAGTTTTTACGTGACAGCAATATTTACAAAGACTACAACAAATTCATGGACGAGTATCTATATTTGAAACATATGCAACCGGCATCTTCATTACAAGATGTGAAATATTTTATACCGCACCACTGTATTACTAAACCTGATAGTTCCACTACACGTTTAAGGGTAGTGTTTGATGCGTCCTGTTGCACAACAAGCGGAAAATCACTTAATGACATCCTATGTGTAGGACCAACTTTGCAAGATGATATTTTTACAATGTTGAGTCGGTTTAGATATCACAAATACGTGCTTGTTGCCGACATCGCCAAAATGTACCGGCAGGTGCTAGTCCATAATGATGATATGCAATGGCAGTGTATTTTATGGCGATCAAACCCATCGTCACCCCTCATAGCATATAAACTACAAACTTTGACATACGGAACAAGCAGTGCACCTTATTTGGCAGTAAAATGTCTCCAGCAATTAGCTAGTGAAATGTCCGATACATTTCCACTTGGAGCCAAAGTAACTCTTAGTGACTTTTACGTCGACAATTTAATGACGGGTGGAAAAAGTGAAGACGAAGTTATCGAAATTAAACGGCAGGTTGTGGGATTGTTAAAGAGTGGTGGTTTTCCACTGCGCAAATTTGCATCAAATTCTTCAAACATATTATTAGATATCCCTAATGCTGAAAGGGAAGAAATTGTACAACTCGACAACATGGATTATATAAAAACACTAGGACTTAAATGGTCACCAAAGGAAGATTTTTTTAGTTTCTCATACACTCCACAAGATAGCACCTTAAAATCTACAAAAAGATCTATACTTGCTCATACAGCCGCGTTTTTTGACCCCCTAGGTCTAATTAATCCAATTATCGTGAAAGCTAAGATTTTGTTGCAGAGCTTATGGAAGCTAAAACTTCATTGGGACGAAAGTGTACCTCTAGATATTTTTACTGAATGGGAGCAAATCCGTGCGCAACTTAAATGTTTAAACAACATTAAAATTCCCAGGTTTGTGTCTTTTAATTCATTTACTAATATACATGCATTCGCAGATGCTAGTAAAAAGGCTTATGGAGCTTGTATTTATGTTGTATCCAAATGTGAAGATGGTATGGTATCATCATTAGTCTGCGCCAAATCACGAGTAGCACCAGTGAAGGAAGTTTCTCTCCCCAGGCTAGAACTCTGTGCTGCATTATTGAGCGTTAAATTGTTAGATGCAGTAAGGAATTACTTCCCTAAGCATCCTTGTAAAACATTTTGCTGGTCAGACTCAACTATTACTTTAGCATGGATAGCAGGAGAGTCATATAGTCGCCCTACATTCGTGGCAAATAGAATAACTAAAATTCAAGAATTGTCCAAAGACGTTGTGTGGAAACATGTTCCCTCGGAACAAAATCCTGCGGACTTACTTTCTAGAGGCTCTACAGTTAAATGTATCACAGAGAATGACTTTTGGTTCCAAGGGCCATCATTTTTAAGAGAAGCTGAGTCAAATTGGCCCCGACAACCTCCTTTATCAGTCCAAGATTTTGTTGAGCAAAGACAAACGTCTTTAATTGCAAAAAATTGTGGCACATGCACAATATATGAAGATTTTTTGGAAGACCACAAATTTATAAACTCTTTCGAAAAATTATTGCGAATGATGGTGTATGTTAAACGCTTTATAACATTTTCCAATACATCAAAAAAGATGTCCTTTCCAATAACAACAGAAGAAATATTCAATGCCCTGTTAACATGTTGTGGAATTGTGCAAAGGTCACACTTTGCAAATGAATATAAGCAGCTTAATGAAGGTAAATCACTTAAAAATCACAAAATTATTCAGTTGTCACCATTTTTAAAGGATGGTTTAATTCGTGTTGGAGGAAGATTAAAAAATTCATCACTTTCATTTTCTGCAAAACATCCTGTATTATTACCCAACAAACATCCATTTGTTAAAACCTTAATAACACATTATCACAGAAAATATTTCCATGCTGGAGTACTCTCACTTCATAACACATTGAGGGAACAATTCTGGATCATTAATGGTAGGAATACTATAAAGAAAATCATACATTCATGTGTATTTTGCTTCAGATATCGACCAAAATTACAAGAACAAGTTATGGCAGCACTACCAGCAGATCGTGTACAAGCATCATTTCCATTTCAAGTCAGTGGGGTTGATTATTGTGGGCCTTTCCAAATCACTCAAAGGGTTCGTGGTCGGTCTCCTATCAAAGGATACATTTCGTTATTTATATGTTTTTCAACAAAGGCTATCCACATGGAATTGGTACCAGACCTAACAACAATTGCATTCATCGCTGCCCTGAGAAGATTTATTTCTAGAAGAGGTAGATGTGCAACAATATATTCTGACAATGCCACGAATTTTATTGGAGCAAACAAAGAATTAAAAGCTATGCTATCAGATTTTTTGTCAGAAGAGCACATCGAAGTTGTACGTGAAGCCTGTCTGAGTGAAGGAATTACCTGGAACTTTATCCCACCCCGTTCACCTCACTTTGGGGGTTTATGGGAGAGCGGGGTCAAGCAAGCCAAGCATTATTTACGACGTGCCATAGGGAAACATATATTAACATACGATGAACTAAACACAGTAGTTTGCCAAACTGAAGCCATATTAAATAGCCGACCATTAACGCCACTTTCAAGTGATCCAAATGATTTACGACCCTTAACTCCGGCACATTTCTTAATTGGGCGTCCATTGACATCATTGCCAGAACCAAATTTGTGTACCGTTAACCCATCATCATTGAAAAGCTATAAACTAATTCAGTGGATACAACAGCACTTTTGGGAGCGTTGGCGAAAGGAATATTTGAATTGTCTGCAACAGAAATTAAAATGGAATACAGCATCACCAAACATTGAAATCAATGATTTAGTATTACTAAAAGATGACAATATTCCTCCTCTAAAGTGGCCACTTGCTCGAGTGATAGCAGTTAACCCAGGCGATGATGGTTTTGTACGGGTAGCAACTGTTAAATCAAAGGATGGCGTATTCAAAAGAGCAATTACAAAATTATGTAAACTCCCTCTTGAACAGTAGTAATTAATTTTGAAAGTCAAACTTTCAAGGGGGGGCAGAATGTTAAGAATTTATATTACTTAAAGTAAAATTTTCTACAGGGATTTAATTGTTTGTCAAAATGCATATTTTGTGCTACCAACAAAACTAAATGTTATTATGATGTGTATGGTTTATCATAATGTAATCTTACTTTGTGTGTTTGTTGTAATTTTCGATTGCGACAAACAACAATTATTTATTAAATTCATATGTAGTTTTGACAAACAGTTATTTTTCTGCCCTTTTGTTAGGTAGAATTTTGTTCAATAAAAAAAAAAAAGGGAGAGAGTTGGCTAGAAAACATCAAAGCGTTAAGTTGGAAAACAGTCCATTAAATTATAAATTTGTATAAAAAATATATTGTATTGTTAAAAACAAAAAAAATAAAAATTCGTTTATTTTTGTATGTGAGATATAGTTCTCGTCGTCAATTTGTGGACTCAAAAAAGCTAAGTCCTCTCCAACCGCCTTTTTAAACCTGGGAAAATAATTCTACCGATCTATCCAATTGGCCATTTTCTAAAAATACATTATGCAATAAATTATATACCAAAACAAATGGCAATTTTAATGCTTTAAAATGGTGCATAAACGACTGTCCTAGCACGAAAACTGCCAAAGTTAATTGCAACCATATCGGAACCTCAGATTACTGCTTTTATTAAACATAGAACAATAATTCTACCGATCTATCAAATTGACCAATTTGTAAAAATACACATTATGCTACAAATGATATACCATATTAAAGTGCAATCATAATGCTTTAAAATGATGCATAAATGACTGTCATAGCGTGAAAACTGTCAATGTTATTTGCAGCCATATCGGAACCTCAAACTACCGCGTTTTTAAAGCTGTGAAAATAATTCTACCGATCTATCCAATTGGCCATTTTCCAAAAATACATTATGGAATAAGTTATATACGAAAGCAAATGGCAACTATAATGCAATAAAAAGATATATAAACGACTTTTATAACATGAAAACTATAAAAGTTATTTGCAACCATATCGGAGCCTTAAATTACCGCATTTTTGAACCTGTACCAATAAATATACCGATCTATCCAATTTTTGTAAAATTTCATTATGCCACAAATTATACACCAAAATAAAGTGCAACTGTAATGCTTTAAAATGATGCATAAACTATTGCCCTAGCATGAGAACTGTCAAAGTTATTTGCAACCATATCGGAACCTCAAATTACCGCGTTTTTAAACATAGAACAATAATTCTACCGATCCTTCAAATTGACCATTTTTTAGACGAACACATTGTGCCACAAATGATATACCAAATTAAAGTGCAATCATAATGCTTTAAAATGATGCATAAATGACTGTCATAGCATGAAAACTGTCAAAGTTATTCACAACCATATCGGAACCTCAAATTACCGCCTTTTTAAACCTGGGAAAATAATTCTACCGATCTATCCAATTGGCCATTTTCTAAAAATACATTATGCAATAAATTATATACCAAAACAAATGGCAATTTTAATGCTTTAAAATGGTGCATAAACGACTGTCCTAGCACGAAAACTGCCAAAGTTAATTGCAACCATATCGGAACCTCAGATTACTGCGTTTATTAAACATAGAACAATAATTCTACCGATCTATCAAATTGACCAATTTTTAAAAATACACATTATGCTACAAATGATATACGATATTAAAGTGCAATCATAATGCTTTAAAATGATGCATAAATGACTGTCATAGCGTGAAAACTGTCAATGTTATTTGCAGCCATATCGGAACCTCAAACTACCGCGTTTTTAAAGCTGTGAAAATAATTCTACCGATCTATCCAATTGGCCATTTTCCAAAAATACATTATGGAATAAGTTATATGCCAAAGCAAATGGCAACTATAATGCAATAAAAAGATATATAAACGACTGTTATAACATGAAAACTATAAAAGGTATTTGCAACCATATCGGAGCCTTAAATTACCGCATTTTTGAACCTGTACCAATAAATATACCGATCTATCCAATTTTTGTAAAAATTCATTATGCCACAAATTATACACCAAAATAAAGTGCAACTGTAATGCTTTAAAATGATGCGTAAACTAATGCCCTAGCATGAAAACTGTCAAAGTTATTTGCAACCATATCGGAACCTCAAATTACCGCGTTTTTAAACATAGAACAATAATTCTACCGATCCATCAAATTGACCATTTTTTAGACGAACACATTATGCCACAAATGATATACCAAATTAAAGTGCAATCATAATGCTCTAAACTGATGCATAAATGACTGTCATAGCATGAAAACTGTCAAAGTAATTCACAACCATATCGGAACCTCAAATTACCGCCTTTTTAAACCTGGGAAAATAATTCTATCGATCTATCCAATTGGCCATCTTCTAAAAATACATTATGCAATAGATTGTATACCAAAACAAATGGCAACTAAAATGCAATAAAAAGATGTATAAACGACTGTTATAACATGAAAACTATAAAAGTTATTTGCAACCATATCGGGGCCTTAAATTACCGCATTTTTAAACCTGTACCAATAAATATACCGATCTATCCAATTTTTGTAAAAATTCATTATGCCACAAATTATACACAAAAACAAAGTGCAACTGTAATGCTTTAAAATGATGCATAAATGACTGTCATAGCATGAAAACTGTCAAAGTTATTCACAACCATATCGGAACCTCAAATTACCGCGTTTTTAAACCTGGGAAAATAATTCTACCGATTTATCCAATTGGCCGTTTTCCAAAAATACATTATGCAATAAATTATATACCAAAGCAAATGGCAATTTTAATGCTTTAAAATGGTGCATAAACGACTGTCCTAGCACGAAAACTGCCAAAGTTAATTGCAGCCATATCGGAACCTCAGATTACCGCGTTTATTAAACATAGAACAATAATTCTACCGATCTATCAAATTCACCAATTAGTAAAAACACACATTATGCTACAAATTATATACCATATTAAAGTGCAATCATAATGCTTTAAAATGAAGCATAAATGACTGTCATAGCATGAAAACTGTCAATGTTATTTGCAACCATATCGGAACCTCAAATTACCGCCTTTTTAAAGCTGTGAAAATAATTCTACCGATCTATCCAATTGGCCATTTTCTAAAAATATATTATGCAATAAATTATATACCAAAACAAATGGCAACTATAATGCAATAAAAAGATATATAAACGACTGTTATAACATGAAAACTATAAAAGTTATTTGCAACCATATCGGAGCCTTGAATTACCGCATTTTTAAACCTGTACCAATAAATATACCGATCTATCCAACTTTTGTAAAAATTCATTATGCCACAAATTATACACCAAAATAAAGTGCAACTGTAATGCTTTAAAATGATGCATAAACTATTGCCCTAGCATGAAAACTGTCAAAGTTATTTGCAACCATATCGGAACCTCAAATTACCGCGTTTTTAAACATAGAACAATAATTCTACCGATCCTTCAAATTGACCATTTTTTAGACGAACACATTGTGCCACAAATGATATACCAAATTAAAGTGCAATCATAATGCTTTAAAATGATGCATAAATGACTGTCATAGCATGAAAACTGTCAAAGTTATTCACAACCATATCGGAACCTCAAATTACCGCCTTTTTAAACCTGGGAAAATAATTCTACCGATCTATCCAATTGGCCATTTTCTAAAAATACATTATGCAATAAATTATATACCAAAACAAATGGCAATTTTAATGCTTTAAAATGGTGCATAAACGACTGTCCTAGCACGAAAACTGCCAAAGTTAATTGCAACCATATCGGAACCTCAGATTACTGCTTTTATTAAACATAGAACAATAATTCTACCGATCTATCAAATTGACCAATTTGTAAAAATACACATTATGCTACAAATGATATACCATATTAAAGTGCAATCATAATGCTTTAAAATGATGCATAAATGACTGTCATAGCGTGAAAACTGTCAATGTTATTTGCAGCCATATCGGAACCTCAAACTACCGCGTTTTTAAAGCTGTGAAAATAATTCTACCGATCTATCCAATTGGCCATTTTCCAAAAATACATTATGGAATAAGTTATATACGAAAGCAAATGGCAACTATAATGCAATAAAAAGATATATAAACGACTTTTATAACATGAAAACTATAAAAGTTATTTGCAACCATATCGGAGCCTTAAATTACCGCATTTTTGAACCTGTACCAATAAATATACCGATCTATCCAATTTTTGTAAAATTTCATTATGCCACAAATTATACACCAAAATAAAGTGCAACTGTAATGCTTTAAAATGATGCATAAACTATTGCCCTAGCATGAGAACTGTCAAAGTTATTTGCAACCATATCGGAACCTCAAATTACCGCGTTTTTAAACATAGAACAATAATTCTACCGATCCTTCAAATTGACCATTTTTTAGACGAACACATTGTGCCACAAATGATATACCAAATTAAAGTGCAATCATAATGCTTTAAAATGATGCATAAATGACTGTCATAGCATGAAAACTGTCAAAGTTATTCACAACCATATCGGAACCTCAAATTACCGCCTTTTTAAACCTGGGAAAATAATTCTACCGATCTATCCAATTGGCCATTTTCTAAAAATACATTATGCAATAAATTATATACCAAAACAAATGGCAATTTTAATGCTTTAAAATGGTGCATAAACGACTGTCCTAGCACGAAAACTGCCAAAGTTAATTGCAACCATATCGGAACCTCAGATTACTGCGTTTATTAAACATAGAACAATAATTCTACCGATCTATCAAATTGACCAATTTTTAAAAATACACATTATGCTACAAATGATATACGATATTAAAGTGCAATCATAATGCTTTAAAATGATGCATAAATGACTGTCATAGCGTGAAA